CGAAACAAAACACTCGTCCCAGACCAGTCCGGGAATACGAATAAGGCCTATTTACAAGGAAATGTGTGGCAGTCAAACAGAAGAGCTACTAATTGGATAATTGAAGATGACAAGGCTTTAAATAAGTTTAAGTAGAGGGAAAAAAAGAAATGAGACACTGCCTTTAAGTTACATCAGATTACATGCAAGCCAGGGAGCTAGAGTTCATGTTATCAATTTAGCTGAAATTCATGATTGCATCATTTCATGGACAATACTGGGTTGAGGGATGGAGGTAACAGAGGGAAGGACTAATTGGTGAGAGCCCTTTTCAGGGGCATGGCCAGGACTTTTCACCAGAATATTGTAGGTTGTTTGCATAACTCTTTAACTCCCAGATCGTTTAAGTAATTCACCTCACTGTCAGCAATACAATTCTTGTATTGACATTGTGAGGAGAAATTCTGTCTTGGTCACTCATGGGAATAAATGGATAAAAAAGGCTTACAAAGGAAAGGGGGGGGGGGGGTTCATGGGAACCCCAGTACCCTTCCCTAAAACTCTTGCCTTCAGGTCAAGGTATCAGTAGGTGTTTGGCATAGCAAAGAAGCTACAAAAGGGTACAGTACATGTACATCAATGCTTTAAAACAAAAGGATCTACATTACTCATAACTTCAAACTGCAGCAGCCCGCCATGTTTTTGTTGCTAGTGTAGGAGACAAGGAGCAAGGAGTTGTTCTTAAAATTGACTCTGGGGATACCAAACTACAGTCTGAGGATTACACATGTGACAGGAATGTCTTTGAAGTATTCAACATTGTTGCAAACTTTATTCAAGTTTTCCCTGTCAATAGTTCCACAGCCAATTGCCTGGAAATTATGTCGGAGAGCACACCCTTGGACCCCCAAAAAGTTCCTTTTGGTTAAAGGAGTCTTGTAGACATGCACAATCACCAGAGAAAAATTAATATGTGTCGGGATGCAAAAGAAAAATTAATTACTTGTAACTCAAATTTTGCAACCTACTGATCTTTAAATGAACATAATGAAAAAGACAATCAAAATAGTTCAATAAAACATAACATTGCAATGGTATGGCCAAATTTGCATGTGTTTGGTAGAAGTCTTAAAATACATGTACTTCAGAGTAACCAACTGCTGTGCTACTGAAATTACTGAAGTCACCACAGGGTACCCAAGCATCTTCCACATGGTGACAACAACTGTTGCTTCAAATAAATAATTAACAGTACCTTATTGTTTTCATTTTTCATTGAAAGCTATTATTTTGCAGTCTGTAACTTTTGACTCCTGAGAGTTTTTAAAACTGCCTGACTTGCTTTAAACTTTGAGGTAATCATCTCTACTTGTGATAAGTCTTACACAGGCATGTTGAAATCACATCTGGGTGCTATATCTGTAGTTATCACACCAGTGAATAACATTATTATCTCTGGCCTACTTCTGGTGTCTTGTAAACTGGTGCATCTGATTTGGGTAATGGAGGATTTCCCAGGATGATGTCAGCTGCCTTCTCTGCAACCATAACAGTTGGTCCATTGAGATTTCCACTAACAATACTTGGCATGATTGATGCATCAACAACTCTCAAATTCTCCACTCCAAACACCTCTGTTTTGTTGTTGACAACGGCCATTGGGTCATCTTCAGAGCCCATTTTGCAGGTGCATGATGGGTGATAAGCAGTGTCAGCATTCTGTCGTACCCAAGCATCAATTTCTTCATCAGTTTGGACATTGTCACCTTAAGGGTTAAAATTAAAATATTATTTGTTGCAGAGCATGTTCAATTTGTATCCTATGTTCTATGTACAATGATATATAACAGAAAATAATTTGTTTCCTCTATTGATAGATGTTTAAATTTTTTTGTACTGTACCTGGCTGTAGTTCTTTTCCACGAAATGGATCAAAAGCTTTTTGGCTAAATACCTCACGCGTAAGTTTAATACTATCTCTTAACTCCACTCTATCCTCTTCAGTAGACAGGTAGTTGGGTTGGATGATTGGATGGTCATAGGGACTGGTTGACTTGATCTTCACATACCCACGACTTGTTGCCCTCATGGAGCCAACATGGACCTTAAAAAGAACAAATACATTTTACAACTTGTGTCATGCGAAATATAGAAACATGAAGGAAATGTTTAAAATTGAACATAAAAAGGAACATACACTACACATGGTGGCAGACTTTCATCTGTCACTTACTTGAAAAGCTTCTTTTTCTACTGTCACTCTACCATGATCTTTAAATGCAGAGGGTAGAAAGTGGTACTGGATATTTGGATGTGACATTCCCTCCCTGCTGCGAATGAAGCCACCAGCCTCTAGATGTGCAGTGGCACATGGTCCTGTCCGAGTGAGGAACCATCTGACACCTATTGGAACCATGTTCCACCATTTGAGAGAGCGGTACAAACTTAAAGGTTGTGTACATTCCTGAAACAAGATTACAGAAGAGAAGCAAAATCTATATAAGGTTACTAGACAAAGCTTCCTCCTCATGGTGTCACTGGATGTCTGAGAGCTGTAAGTTTTTCCAAAACTCTGGGGTGCCCAGCTCTTCTAAACTTCCATTAAAGAAAATTTCAACAATTTGCTAAAAGAAAAAGTAAGTTGCTAGACTTCTGCTAGAGCCTAAGAGAGGCTTGGTGCTCATTAAAATTTTGGATCAATATCAGTATCTGGGCAACTGCCCACCTACCCCTCCCTTAAGTTGTTGTCAATTGACTGTTGTTGGGTTAGGGGAGGGGTAGGTGGGTAGTTGCCCAGATACTGATATTGATCCAAAATTTTCTTCCTAGAGGCTGAGGTGAGCACTTGATTGAATGAATGCACTATGTCATCACCAATTGTTCCTCACCACCTCACGGTCAACTTTCTACATGTAGGATAGGTGGAGAATAATTTACAAACCTGGTGGAAATACATCTCCAAATGATCTTGAAAGTTTTGCCCTACACCAGGAAGGTGAACATTCACAGGAATACCAAGCTTTTTTAAATCATCTGCATTTCCTATACCTGACAGATTTAGGATCTGAGGTGTATTAATTGCACCAGAGGTTAAGATAACTCCCTTTCTGGCCTGGGCACATTTCACATGACTGCCCTGGTGGTAGACAACACCTGATGCACGATTCTTTTCAAATACTAATCTAGTTATCAGTGTTCTTGTCTCTGTGCGAAGGTTTTTACGCCTCAGTGCAGGCCTCAAGTAGGCATTCGCTGTATTCCACCGGAATCCTTTATGAATTGTCATGTCCATCCATCCAAACCCTTCCTGTTGGTAGCCATTCATGTCATCTGTGAAGGGATAGCCAGCTTCAACACCTGCATCGATAAATGCTTGGTACAAAGGGTTGTTTGATTTACCACGGGATACATGAAGAGGTCCACCACCCCCCCTGTAATCATCTGAACCTAAAAAAGAAAATGCAAGTATTGTTTGCTTGTCAACAGTATGACCTCTGCAACAGCTTCGCATAGTATCAAATTCAACAAGAAACATGTCTCTTGTAGACGACTTAAAAGCCTTTTGAAAATTTTAACACCATACATGTATTTCCTTGAAAGTTCCCTAGTGCTTTTTTAAAATTTTGGCCTACAGGAAGAGCACTCAGTGGAAGGAGGGTGCTCAACCAAGTGGGGTGCTTATTAGGAAACTATTAACCTGTACTGATCCTGCTGAAGTTGAGGCTTAAAAAGTTATTTAAAAACAGGCAATAGAAAAAGGTTTTCCTTGAATCTCTACTATCTGAGAAAATAAGGGAGGAAATGGGGATGGCAATTAATTGAAAGGGGCTCCTCTTCCATATTATAAGCTAGGGGGGGTAGGTGCTTGTTTGGAGGGCACTTATTAGAGTGTGGACATCCCAGTATAAGTAAACTCTATGTGAAAAGGACTTTTTACACATTCCCATTTCTTCTGTGTCAGGTCAATCTTTAGCGCTACAACATAGGGATTTGACATTGATATGTAAATAGCAATTCTCTCTTAGTTGCTCCTAGGAGTAAAAGGGCTAACAATTCCTTATTATAGAATTGTGGACTTTTGTTAGCTTACCTAGTTCATGAGTCTGAGATTTCCTGAAGTATGGCAAACAATCTGCATATGACCATCCTTCTGCACCTTCCTTCTCCCAGCGATCATAATCATAAGCATGGCCTCTGATGTACACCATTGCATTAAGGGATGAGGATCCACCCCATACCCTCCCTCTGGGTTGATAGATCCGCCTGTATGGGTAACAGGGTAACCAATTTCACAAAATTTTACACAACAGATACACATATTTTAGAAAAAAAGAAAATTTAAATACCAATTTACCTATTATCCATAAACTCTTGAGGTTCTGTTTCATAATACCAATTATATCTATTGTCGCAAAGATTATAAATAAGAGCAGCTGGCATGTGGATCTTCCACGTCCAATCTTTTGGTCCGGCTTCAAGAAGAAGAACTTTGTTTTCACCACTAGCTGATAGACGATTGGCAAGAACGCAACCAGCCGATCCAGCTCCACAAATAACGTAGTCATGAGATGAGGAATATCTTGTGATACCAGTCCCAGTTAGGAAACATTTTTGCTGTACCATTGGTCTATGGACTTAAGGATAAAATAATGAAAACCATACATTGAGATAAGTCAAAGATACCCATGATAATTATCAATATCTACTTAACCATTTCACTTCCAAGATCCAATTCCCTATATATTGCTTATAGTTGTGGTTTTGAGAATTTAATGTTAATAAAGCAATATCCCTGTGCTGATATTTTCTAGCTTTTTGTTGCCTTACTGTTTACAAATGTATGGATATCAAGGAGAAATTCCTTGTTGGTCATTCCTGGGTGTAAACAAGTTGAGAAATAGATTCCATGTTGCTGTACACAGATGATGGCAAAATGTGGTGAGAACAAAAAAGTGGTGCACAAGTCCACTTCCGTTATCATTATGGAAGAGATGTATACAGAATAGAATCAAAATGTTATCAAAAAGGAAAATGTTTTCAATGGTGACTTCAATGATGTATGCAGCTGTCATCCAAAAGATGACTTATCAAACTGGGTGTATAATTCAGTGCATTATATAATGCAGCCGTTACTCTGTAGACATCACCTGTAGTAGTGTAATGTGACAGCAATCAACATCTTCACCCATAACATTGCATGAGCTGAGCCCTAACAACTGTTACAGGTTATGATCCTTATTGACAGCCTTGCATATTGCTTAATAAATCAATGTCCATCAGTAGGAGTTGTGAATGGTCACAGTGGCAATAAAATATGGGAACAAAATTAAAGAGCAAGTTAATATTCAGACACATACCTTTTATGAAATGAAATGAAGGTGCAAGGTTTCTATAGAAACATCTTTTAAGCATCAAGAAAGACGCCATGAAATTTGCCTTAAAAAGGAGAGATGGTAAAATAGTTTATTTCATAGATAAATTAGATACTCAGCTCTACTCAGGCATATAACTCTGAAGTACAGTAGTACATAAAAATCCTCTAAGCCTTGGCTGACTGAAATAAATATACCATATCATAAACAGAAATGAATTATGTTACATTTACCTCATTTGAGATGTAATATAATCTACCAGTTCTCTACAATAAAAAATTTTGCCCTCAAACACAAAGCAGAGAAAAATGACATGATATAATATCACCCCTAAATCACATATTAAGGCCACGAGAATAAAGAAAATGACCACCAACTAGAGCAGCTCTTAATTTTTTTTAACAAATTCTCCTTGTCAGCACTTTAGGAAATGTATAGAGAATAGTATGGAGAATTTGGATAACGTTGTGAGGATGTGAAGGGTAAAAGGGAAACAGTGATTTCCCGGCGAATTATGCAATCCTACAAATGCATGCAAGAATCAGCTCGTGGATTCTATTTAACGTAAATATCTTAGGACGGGAGAGACTTTGAAGGCTCTTTTTCTGTTGAAAAATCGTGTTGGCACATTTAAAGTGCTCTGCTCATTCACCTTACAGTGATCGTCAAGGCTGAGTAAAACCACTGACCTACAGCTAGAGATCGCTCCCGAAAATCTCATTTGCACATGGCTTAACTACAAGAGAAGAGCGCCTTTGCCGGCGTGATTTTTAAAAATTGCTAAGGTATTTTTATATCCAGACGGATATTTACCTGAATTTGCAGCCAGACGGTATAAAAACGTAAAATCAATCGGTAATTAACCCAGAGACGAACTATACAGCGGTAGGCGTTCGGAGCTGCGCCCGCTAAAGACTAGAACTTAATAAGGTTGAAAGACTGGTAACGACTTCCACTTTGATTTGAGATAAAATAAAAGTTTACGGTCATGGTACGACACAACATGATTGCATTTTAGAATACTAATATTTACCACTAGAATAAAGTTCTTGATGAAGTATTCTTCAGTAGTGGTATCATAAAGAGAATTTATCGAGGTTGACAATAATAAACGAAATCGGTCAGCGGAGTATCACGTATGTAAAATGTGTTCGTATATAAAGAAGGAAAAAATCCAGATCTATAAAATGTTGACTTTATTGAGTGTTCAGACTTCAGCGAGTTTTTTTTACATAGTTGAACTTTTCTTAGTGCGCCATTATCCATCGGAGGTGGAGATTTTCGGTGACAGCAATGACCTTACAGGCCCTCCATTCGACAAGCTGTCAATTACGTAGCCGCGAAACGTGTGCCGGACATATTCCATACACCCGGCAGATGTCGTCAGTTATAAATCAAAGTAATTTCGAGATGAAAAAGGTTTTTTCGATCGTTGATCATGCTGAGTATCGTGACTGGAAATTTCAAAAACCGCTGGCACAGGAGGCGGCTCCCACCCCCTCCCGTTCCTAAAGACTCGTACCGCACCTCCTCCTCGTCAGTTTATTTTTCTCCCAGCAGCTTTTAACATTTTCGGTTTGTGACTGCAACAGGTGCGGAGATCGGGTACAATTTGAGCTAACCGAGGTTAGTATTCTCTGTTTGCCCTCTACCTTCTTCCATTGAAACGATGACCAGATCCGCCAGGCGAAAAGATGTGATTACGGCGATATTAATCATTTCTACCATCTCCTAATTTGAGAAATGCAAATATTTCATAATACTCGTAGCAAACTCGGCCTTTGGTCAGGGCCTTTGGTCAGGGTGCATTGGCACGATTCAGTCCTCCTGCCTCGTATCTAGTCTCATGGTGTTCCCAATGTGCTAAAACTTCCGCTGTTTGATGGTGAACTGTACAGATCTGATTCAGGAGGTTGCGTGACATTACGACGCAGACCTGAAGCCCATATTTTCATAGGGATCGATATTGAACAATTCTAATACAGAAGACACAGTGTGAGTTTGAAAGAGATTTCCGGGTTTTACATCAGATTTGTATCAGACACACTCAGAAAAAGTACAAATAAGAATCTTCTCCAAACGTGGAAACGCTTTTAAAGAAGCTTCCACCAGCAACATCAATATCGGTCAGCAGATAGAGTGGCTAGAGGAAGCGAAGAGTTTCACCTCCCTTAACACAGCATGATTCACTCCGGCGGCCCTTTGCCTGTACTTCTTTAGCTCTCTTAGGATAACAGATATGTTTTCATCATGTTCAGGATATTATATACTCAAAAAATTTACATAAGCTTCTGCCCATACGATGTATACAAATCATATTGCGTTACGCGAAAAAATGACCCTGTAATGTAATTGTTACGTGACTTTTGCCTACATAAAACCTGGATAAGCAACGCCGAAAACTTCCTTGTAAGACAAAATATAATCTATCAATTTGGCATTTCTTTGTATATTTTGCATTCCTTTTCAGATGAGGCAATGAGATATACTTGTGTGTTCTACCACGATGGCTTCTTGGGCGAAGGTCAAAACACTGTTTTTCACGAGGCCATTTCTCATACTCTGTAAGACGAATCATAAGCCTCAACAATCTTTGCAGTTGATTTTTGTAATATTGTGCTTATCTCGAAGCAATCAAGCTTAATTCAAGTAACCTTACTCATTTTTGGTTATTTTCAGTCGAACACGTTAGCTTCCAGCGACGATGTTTTCAGTCCACTGTAAAGTTTTCTTCATCTTACGACTATGTCATCTGTGGAGCTGGATCTGCAGGGTGTGTCCTTACCGATCGTCTGTCGGCCAGTGGTGAAAACAGAGTTCTAATTCTTGAGGCAGGACCAAAAGATTGGACATGGAAGATCCACATACCAGCTGCTGTCAAGTATAATCTTTGGAATGACAAATACAACTGGTATTACGAAACGGAACCACAAGAGTTTACGAATAACAGGTAATACAGTTTTGGAGTGTTTTAAGCACCAAGCTTAGTCAAACATAAAACTATTGAAGGACAATAACAAAGATAAGTCATAAGCTGGTGTTCGTAAACTTCCCCCCCTCCACCTGTGCCGTCAAAAAAAGTGATATAAAATCATAAAACAATAAAGCAAGTCCCTGCCTCAAACAACTAACACGCTACAGGTATAGAGCCCCATACTGGAAAATCACTCCCACCTTCCTGCAAATTGCTGCCCAATGAAACAAAATTTAGAAAAATAAAAGGATATTTTGCTTGCTCGTTGTCCACCAGCATTTGAGATTGAAGTAGTCGAAACGAAGTTTCAAGGTTTTATGTTTCACTCATAAGATACCAATTTCCTTCCATACAGGCGGATCTATCAACCCAGGGGGAGGGTATGGGGCGGATCTTCGTCTCTAAATGCAATGGTGTACATCAGAGGTCATGCGTATGATTATGATCGCTGGGAGAAGGAAGGTGCAGAAGGATGGTCATATGCAGATTGTTTGCCATACTTCAGGAAATCTCAGACCCATGAACTGGGTAGGTGTTCACTTCATTTTTCGACTTCCACTGTATATTTTTATTCTTGGAGCGCCACATCCCTTTTATCCTGGTAGCGCGCGTCATGACCAACCGTAAAGACCTAACATCGGACAAACAGGGATTAAAAGTCTCTATTTTCTAAGTCTCAGTAAGGCACCACAGACGTTTCCTTATTGAAGCTGGGATACTGCGATATTCTCGTTTTCTTTAGATGATGATTTGCAAAAGCTTCGTATTCCTGTGATGACTCGTCCTTCCGGTTTCGTTTGCAATCTTGAAGATCTTTTGCGCAATTTTTTTTATAGTCTTGTCGCGAGAGATAAAAGCATTCTAGGCGATGTAAAACCTATTCCGTGAGGGACAAAAGTTCTTTATTTACTAACACCGTTACCTGATACCCCTAATAGGTAAAGGAGGTTGTTGTTACGCATGCTGCTGTTGTTTTTGTTTCAGAGGTCATGTAATGGACAAGTTAACAATTTGATCATTCTTGCTTGTAGGCCCAGATGATTACCGAGGAGGCGATGGACCGCTCCATGTATCCTGTGGTAAGTCAAACGGTAACCCTTTATACCAAGCATTTATTGATGCTGGTGTCCAAGCTGGTTATCCCTTCACAGATGACATGAATGGCTACCAACAGGAAGGGTTTGGTTGGATGGACAAGACGATCCATAAGGGAGTACGATGGAATACAGCAAATGCCTACCTCAGACCTGCACATAAGCGCAAGAATCTTCAAACACAAACAAGGGCCTTGACCTTGAGAATTTTGTTTGAGAACCACCGTGCTGTAGGAGTGGAGTATCAGTTGGGCAATGAAATAAAACGTGCTGGGGCCAGAAAGGGAGTTATCATAGCTGCTGGAGCCATTAACACACCACAGTTACTGAATTTGTCAGGCATTGGGAACGCAGTTGATTTGGAAAAGCTTGGTATTCCTGTGAAGGTTCATCTTCCCGGTGTTGGTTACAATCTTCAGGATCATATGTCTGTGGCTTTTATGCAGGTATGTAGTATTTATCAAGGTATTCCGGAGAGTGCTATGCAATCTTAAGTTATCACACCACTGCTCTCTTGTTTCAGGAGTGTACTCAGCCCCTGACGCTTTACCGTACTCTGAAGTGGTGGAACATGATTCCAGTAGGAGTGAAATGGTTCCTCACAAGGACTGGACCATGTGCAACAGCACACAAGGAGGCAGGTGGCTTTATTCGCAGCAAGGAGGACATATCGCATCCTGACATCCAGTTTCAGTTTGTGCCTCTGGGGTACAAAGATGACGGTAAAGTGATATTCCAGAGGGATGCCTTCATGGTGGGTGGAAGATAAGCTCTTAGGATATCATGTAAATTTTCAGGCGTATTTCCTATAACCCTTTAAATCCTAAGGGTGACTGGCTTTCACATGATTTCTCCTAACGTAAAAGGAAATGATCATTAATTCCAGTAATTCCAGAAGTTTATGATTGTCAAACAAATTCTCCTTGTCAACGCCCTAGGAAATATATAGAGAATAGTATGGAGAATATAGATACTGATGTAATGGTGTAAAGGGTTAAGCTGTTGTGTTGTGTTTTTGTCTATTTAACGTTTTGTCCATACTTAAGAGGAACTAACACAAGACTTTCGTGGCTGGCCACAAAACTTGGTTTTCTTTTGTTCATACTGAATATTAAACCAAGTAGAATTTATCCTTTCTTCATATTTATCTGGCTATGAGTAAAAAAACTTTCTCTTGGAGAAAATCTTGAGAAGAAGGAAATTACTTTGTCAGTGTTGCTACACTTCCTGATTTTCCGCCAATTTCAGTGCGGCACTATAATACATGGTAGTCTTTTTAAAAAATAATAGTTATGAAAACGTTCTGAACGCTTCTGTTGATCACGTTGTTTTATTTCCTTACGAGATTCACGTTGGCACCTTACGTGCTACAAGTCGTGGATATGTAAGACTGAAGTCCACAAATCCATGTGATCATCCCAGTATCAACCCGCGATATCTGTCCACTGAAGAAGATCGGGTGGAGCTAAGAGATGCTGTTAGACTTACCAGAGAAATAATCAGCCAACGGTCTTTGAAGCCATTTTGTAGGAGGGAGTTAGAACCAGGTACTTACAGTGAAAAGATATGATAGGTATAAAATGCTTTGTTTTAGCAGATATCTCAGCAGGTTTTAGGGTCTTACTTTCCATGAGAATTAACTAAAAAAATAAAAGAAGCAGACCACTACCACATCAAGGCACCTTTTAGACCACTTGCTCACTAGGCGATCCATGTGTGCATCCTTCGGTTTGTTACACTTTTGATTCCCTATTCCTTCTATAGACATTCTCCTTTGATCTCCTGTGACTGGCTGCTTGAAGTTTGTTCTTAATAAAAGTTTGTTTGTTGAGGTGTCTCGCACTTGTTGGTGTGAAATGCTAAATTACAGTATGTTTGTTTGTACGCTTACAAAGGTGACCATGTTCAGACAGATGAACAAATTGACGCCTGGATACGACAGAACGCCGACACTGTATATCACCCATCATGCACCTGTAAAATGGGTTCCGAAGATGACCCAATGGCTGTTGTCAATAATAAAACGGAGGTATTCGGTGTGGAGAACCTAAGGATTGTCGACGCATCAATCATGCCGAGTGTTGTGAGTGGAAATATCAATGGACCAGTGATAATGATCGCGGAAAAGGCTGCAGATATAATTTTAGGAAATCCCCCTCTTCCTAAATCGAGAGCACCAGTGTATAAAAAGCCAGAATAAAAAAAGTTTTAAAATATATGTGCTGGCTTTTTGACGTAAGAATTAAAGTAGGTATATTAGTGGATTTTTAGAACGTATAAGGATCGTGATTCCAGTCGAAACAAAGTTTGTCCAGCTGCTCCAGTACCTTATGGAAGAAAATTCTGTTTTGAAAAACACTTCGAAAAAACAATTTCGAAAAGAATGAGCTATCTACAGGTGCAATTAGTTCCTTGCTGTTTGAGGATAAATAACGAATCTATTTTAGTTGTTATGGTATTGTTAATACGATCTTTGCAGCTAACTTATGAGTCGAGCAAATTATCCTGTAAATTTTAAAACAGTGAGCACGTGAACCGTTTGTCGTTTCTGCACTCAATTCATCATTTAGAATTTGCAAGTTAATATATGGGACCGTGTCATCGTTCAAGTTTCTCACCCACTTTTTCAAAGCTTTGTTACTCTTCCTCATGAGCATCAAACGATGATATCTGGAGGAAAAATAAGATCGAAGGCAGCTCGTCCAAGTGAAGTTGTATAGCATGGAAAATAGACTTCAAAAGTGGATAGAAGTGAGCTTTTCACTGATGAATTCGAAGCTCCTGTACTCTTTCAAGACTTCTTGAGGGACGACCTGCTACTGAGGTGGAAACGATCAGCAGAGTTGCAGCTGCGTTTTTTGGCGCGAAAATCCGATGAGTGCCGATAGATTTCGACTCTCAACCAATCAGAAACGATTACTTAGAAACCAAGTGAACACTGCTTTATCTTTCCATGATTTGTACTCCACAAAATAAATAGAACATTTATTTTTTTCTTGCTTTTGATGAACTACTTACCAGTCTATCATAAAATTGAAAGAATTGGAGAACCGGTGACAAATCAGTGAACTGTTTTTTGGACGTTTAGCGATAGAAAGACTGGAAACTAGTACCTAAAGTTTACATGTTCTTAGAGGTCCAATGAAGAGTGAAAAATGAAAGTTGCTGTATTTTCTTAAAAATAGAGTGTTTTACATATATTATGAACGGCAAATTCAATTTCATTTTGACTGCAATGAACCGCTGATTCACTTTCGGTGGTATGTCGTGACATCAACCCGTGACATTCTTCTGTGATATTGGAAAATTAAAGTCGTTGACTCGACAAAATTAATACACTCCTGCAGGTGCAGGGGTTCGAGAAATCCAGGATAAAATTTCAGCTATACGTTGACACGAGCAACAGTGATCTGGCGTTCAGATAGCGATAAATTTTGGTGCTTGACGTGCAAAACTTATTAAGGTGAGTCTGTACAAAACTTATCAGCAGGGTGAGTATGTACAAAAAGCGAGAAAAATCGCCAGAATCACGGACCTTGCCGCAGGGTGTAGTTAGGGTCAATTGAGCCTATGTTAAAATTTAGACCTGTATCTTACAATCTATTGATACAAGACTTGCCTTTAGTGGACGTTTGCTCAAAGTGTAAGCGAGCACTTAAGAGGTAACTGCAAAGTCTGCGGGGATAACTTAGGGATCGAGTATTGCAGTAGACCTACTCTAGATACACAACCCCCATAAACAGATACAAATTATTACATGGACTAAATAAACTTCTGCATCAACCTCTCCCCCCCTTCCCACCCTTGTTCGAAAAAAAAGAAACACAAGGCAATAAATAAGAGTATCTAGAGGTAAGTATGAAACTAATGGACCATACTAGACTATGGTTTTTAACACTTCCTTATTTTGTTGCAGGTATTGAACATGAACAGGTTTTCCTTGGGGTTTGTTCAGAGCACTTATAAGGTATCCAGAAAAAAATTTACCTGGAAATTGACTGGTTAGTTTGAAGCCAATTGAAATCTTATCGATATGGTTAATTTCCTTAAAGATAATCTTCAATGCAAAAATTACACTCCTCCCATCACACACCCTTACCAATCAAACATGTAGAAGAGGGTGGATGGAGCCATCCCTGATTGACATGAGTTGACCCTATGTTAACACATGAAGGATTTGATGCACTACACAAGATAAGATGCATGTTACAGGTTGTGACATGGCATGGGGTATGGTCAGGAGGTAGCCAATTTGGATTGTTTCAGGTTTAAATGAATTGCACTTTCTCTGTGATAACTGCATAAAGAAGTTCTAAGGCAAAATAAAGTTTTAGTACATTCATTAAGCTTAAAGAACCCACAATTAGAATATTTAATAAGGTGAGGATAACTTAATGTTCAGTAGTGAACTGTCAGGGAAATTTGGAAAATACTGCGGAGATAACTTGTGATGAGTGTAAGCCTAAGCATACAGTTGAATGAGCAAAAAATATGCCATGGAAAGTAACCCTGCCAAACCATGTGGCCCCATGAGGTAAAGCGTACATTATCATGCAGTGAAATTTATTGTTTCTTAATCTAACCAGGAGGCCAAGTGATACAAAGATACTCTAAGTCAACCACATCATTTTCCTCCACCCATGAATACATTATCATTGGTGCGGGATCAGCTGGGTGTGTTCTGGCCAATCGGCTGTCAGCTAATCCAGATTTAAGGGTACTCCTCCTTGAAGCTGGACCATCAGATAACACATGGAAAATACAGATGCCAGCAGCCATGTCATATAACTTAGAATATGACAGTCACAACTGGTTCTATACATCAGAGCCTCAGCAATATTTAAAAAATAGGTGTTAAAACAAATTTAATTTTCTTTTCATTTTCACACCATTGCTAATCATAACAGTAATTCACTTGGTGATTCTGCAGTCCAACCAAGATCTGTTAACCCTTTAACTCCCAAGATCGGATAGTTCCTTCTCCCTCTAGCTGCTTGACATTTCCTTCCAAAAAAGTTACGAGAATTTAATGTTAGATCAAGATGACAACCTATACCTGATAAGTTTGAGTATTCCTATTACCTGTTTGCTGGATAGTGTATGGATATTGTAGTGAGAAGTTACATTTTAATCACTTCTGGAAGTTAAAAGGGTCAAGGAAGTAGGATGGTAGGAGCCTGGGGAAAAATGGGGAATATCATGGGAAAGATGGATGGGGGGGTGCAGTATTGAAATTGGACTTAAAGTGGGTTAACCAGCTCTTGACCCTCATGTAGATTTGGTTAATAAGCCACAAGTGTTTATGTTTCTAGTCTGAAATTATTTTTGGTTTTCAGATTTTCTCTTTGTCTCATGCCCAAAGCAAATGAATTTAACATATATTGTTGTCATACAGAAGAGCCTACAAACTTCAGTCTCTCTTTCTCCTTCCCTGCTCATTGGTTTATCATGTTTTGGATACCCAGATCTCAGCTGAATTGAAAATCTTGATTGAAATCTCCCAATAGTCCAGTTTGCAGTTGTGTGCTTGGTCACCAAGCCTTTGAACAAGAGTGAGGCTAAGGGTGACCTTGTTACAATACAAATGGTGCTGCTTTTTAAAAGTAAATTTTTTTGTTATCGTGCTAGCTAGATACTGGTCTCTGTCACAACAAGGTCACCTTCAGCCTTGCTCCAAATCAAAGGCTTGGCAACTAAGTAAATAACTATAAAATGGCCTATTGGCTGTCAGAGGACTGGGCAAGTGATGAGTAGAGCAGTTGAACAGTGCGTTAATTTATGGGTTTGATTCTCACTGGAGGCTTTTTAGCTTTAACTCACACTCACCAGAGATTTATCAATCTATCAAAAAATAATTTTTAGTGAACTCAAATGGCTGCTCTTCATGTATATTGCAGGACTATTTACCATCCAAGAGGTCGTGTACTGGGCGGGTCCTCCTCAATAAATGCAATGATTTTTGCACGCGGACATGCGTTTGATTATGACAGATGGGATAGGGAAGGTGCCACAGGATGGTCCTATGCAGACTGTTTGCCTTACTTCAAGAGGTTGGAAAGATACGAACATGGTATGTTTGTGTTTACCACACAAGGACTTGATCACCTCTATGTCTTACCCAATAAGTTTTTTGCTTTTAGCAGACACTTTCATGTCAAGCGGTGTTTGTCTTCTCAAATACACTCTTTGACACAAGATGAGAGAAAAAAATTAATCTATTTGGATTTTGTTGGTCTAAAGCAAATAAAATTATCTTAAATTATCTCAGTTACCCAGCAAAATGCACTTTTATTCGATACAAAGCACTCCTTTATAAACCATGCACTATCTAAACTAAGGCTGTTAGGTGGAGACAAGCAGTGTAACAGAAAAATGTTTTGCTCAAAAATGCAACACCAGTGACCACACCGAGGACTCGCACCGAACCTCTCAATCGGTTTTCCGACCCTTCTCCGGCCGCTGTGTCTACCTCATGGACATGACGCGAGTTTCTATGTTTAGGTGCTAGTCAGTATCGTGGAGGAAGTGGACCAATGCGAGTGTATCGTGGAACACATTCTAATCCTCTACACCACGTCTTCATCGCTGCGGGTGTAGAGGCCGGTCACCCATTTACAGATGACTTCAACGGTTATCAACAGGAAGGAGTTGGCTCACTGGATCGTACTATACACGAAGGGAAGAGATGGAGTGCCGCATCCGCTTATTTGAAGCCAGCTCTTCCTCGGAATAACTTAACGACCGAGACCAGAGCACTGGCAAACAGAGTGTTGTTTGAAAACGGTAAAGCTATCGGAGTAGAATATCGGGTTGGGGATTCAGTGAAACGAGCACGCGCCTCTAAAGAAGTCATCCTTTCTGGTGGAGTAGTTAATTCTCCACAGTTACTTATGCTGTCTGGGATTGGGGATGAAACAGAGCTGAAGTTGCTGGGAATACCTATGGTGGCAAAGTTACCAGGAGTGGGAAAAAATCTGCAAGATCACGTCCAAGTGTATGTCCAATATGTAAGTAATTAGCACCAGATAACCTACATGATGTAGAGATCTTGAATGTATTTTAGGAATGTAGAGCATTGCACCATTCACTGGGAATTTCAGGCCTTAAGTCGTTCAAAGTGGGTAAGTTTCTAAAGAAACTGTGGTGCTGCGTCGGTGGGAGAGAATAACAGGGTAATTTAGTGTTATCAACTGAGCTGACTGAGTTGACTGAGTTAGCCCTTCATCAGAGCGATCGCTCTGACGAAGGGCTAACGCTCGAAAAGTCAGCTTTTAAACTTCTTTACAGTGGCCAATTAACGTTATCAACTTAGTTGATGATACCAAATTACCCTACTTAAGTTGTCACCCTGTTCACAGTGGCTTATGATCATCATCATCATCCTCATCGTTATTATTGTTATCATAATTATTATTGGTATCCCTGTTACATTTTATTACTAAAATCTAACTCGATTGGAAATAATTTTTATGACTACGAACACAACAGGAAAGCCTCAAGCCAGTGACGTTGAACAGTACGTTTAAACTGCACAACATGATACGAGCTGGCCTACAGTGGTTTTTATTCAAGAATGGAGTGTGTGCCTCTAACCATTTTGAGAGCGGTGGGTTCGTTAAAAGTGATCCCAGCGTGTCACACCCCGATATACAGATGCAGTTTGTTCCTACTGCGATGAAAGAGGCGGGCAGTTCTGAGATTATTCAACATGGATACCAGGTAAAACTGTCGACAGTCCTGCTTTGAAAACGAAAGAGTTGGCAACCAAAGGAAAAACGAATGGATATAGGGAAAGGGAAGACGCAAGTTTCGCAGCTTGTTATTTTTTGTTGCCGAGTTCGCATCAATTTCTCACCAGAGACTTCTGAGAACAGGCTTATAGGATAATTACCTTCCTGATGGATTCTCTTTCAGGTTTGTGCTGAGATTCTTAGACCCAGCAGCCGGGGCTTCGTGAAACTGCGATCACGTGACCCACTTTCCCATCCTGTCATTCAACCAAACTATCTGTCACGTGACAGTGATCGTCGCCTAATGAGGACCTGTGTGCGAATTGCACGTGATGTACTCAACCAGAAGGCCTTTGAACCTTATAGAGGAAAACCGATAAAACCAGGTTTGTATAGGTAACAGTACGATTTAGAGTGCAATTTAAAGTGCATAAGCACGAAAAAAATTTTCAGATACCAAAATTTGTAGTCTTGAAAAATAAATTTCATGAAAAACGCATCACAGAAAGTCAAAACGTAAGAAATTTTGGCAGCGCGCTATTTATAATTTTCACTCGTTTACAACTTTGCACTCGTGTCACATGAAAAATGCATCGTTTTCAGCCAATCAGACGCGCGTAATTTTTTCATGTATTTTATTAGATGATTTATATGTATCTTGTTGCACTTGGCGTTGAATTATTTCTTAACCCTTTAAACCACGAGAGTGACCTGAATGTAATTTCTCCTTCCAATAATAATGCTGAAGCAAACGTCAAGACCATGTGAGTAAAGGAAATGATCACCAACTCAAGAAAATTTAATTGTTAAACAAGTTATTAAACCTTTTTGTCAATACGAAAGGAAATTTATAGAGAGGAGTATGGAGAAGAGTGGTTACTGATGTTTGAGTGTAAAGGGTGTAAGGACCGGCAGTCATTTTTTATCTTGTGGGGGAGGGGATCGGAGAATTTTAGGGAGAACATATGGTTTTCATGGAGAACAGAGCGGGGGGTGGGGTTAGTAGTCGCTAACAGAGTATAAGGGCGAACTAAAGCCATGTTACCAAGCAAAATAAGGACATCTTGATAATCTTTATGACCTACCCTTGAATCCGTTACACCCTAGTTATTTTACTGGACCCTGGAATTCTAGAAAGATAAATTTTAAACTTGATTTTTTCCTCTCAGCTAAGACTTGTGAAACCGAGGACGAAATAGACGCTTTCGTTCAAGGATACGCTAAGACTGATTACCATCTCTGTGGAACGAACAAGATGGGAGCCGAAGATGACCCGATGGCTGTTGTCGACGCGCAAACTCGTGTCTTCGGAGTCGACAATCTCCGGATCGTGGATGCGTCTGTATTCCCCAGTATAGTTAGCGGTAATCTTAATGCTTCTACGCTCATGATGGCGGAAAAAGCCGCAGATTCTATTTTGGGGAAGTCGCCATTGCCTAAGGAACACGTTCCAGTATATGGCACATCATGACCTTTAGCTGTTGTTACAGAACTCTGAGTAGAGATCGATGATTTATAAACGTGAACCAGTCTTGTTTCTTCGAGAAAAGCCATATCTCCCCACATGTCGAACGCTATAACCAGTTCTGATCTTTTCATTTCGTGCAGACACTTTAATACCTTTTAATTCATTTTCTTTTGTGCGAGTCGTGATTATGCAAAGATGTGTCATTCATTGATTACCGTCTTCTGAGCTCCAAGATGCCCGGAGGCTTTGTCTAAAAACGAGGCCGAGTGCCAAACAGATTTCAGTTATCATGCAATAAAAACTCTTTTCCACAAGGAAATTTCTGCATGTGACCTCGTTTTGAAATTGAAGCTGTCTAAAACTCGGAGACATGTCTCTCTTACCCCGCGCCTATATCACAATTTGACATAATCTACCAGAGATTTCTTCCCCGATAGCAAAATTGTTCGGCAGCTTTGGTAGTCTCAAATCCGATTTCCAGTGAATTTCAACCCATAAACTTAACGAAGTCTGTATTATTCAAGTTATAATCCAGGAAACCGGACTTTATTTCTTTTACTCATATTCTTTCTTTTTTTGACATTGAACTGTCCATTTCGTGGCAATTCAGACGAGGATTCCATGCAGGCACGATATCGTCATTGAATCTTTGTCTTAAATATCTTACAATTATTGAGAAATTATACCAAGCTAACTTTCTAAAAATACACTTATTCTAAGAATTTGAACATTTTTTCCCTTAAATGTTCAAAAAATGGTGACGATGATAATCATTGAGAATAATTGTTATGATTACGATGAGATTGACTCCGACGTCTTTCAAGTTCGAACGTTCACTTACGTGTGGTGAGTTACATCGACCCTTATCCAATAATCTTCAATTTTTTTCATGTTGTCCACCGATTACATTCCTCTAATGGTATTTCTTCTGTACAATGAATGATCTTCATATGTCATTTGCTTATGCGCTTGACAACATGGAAATAGCTTGAGGACAATCCCTTTGAATCGAAATCACACATTGCCTTATTGGGCTTTATTTTAGGAATTTTCTATTACTCCGGGAAGTGTTGAGTGGCATTAATGCTCGACCTTTTTTTTTTTGCCTCTCGGACATACCGTCGTAGGCTACAATTAATAGCCGTAATACGTTTCGGAAACGTTTGGCGTTTGAAAGAGTTTCGCTTGCGGGGATCACATTTTCCACTTCTCAACGAGGATTAACTGGGTAGTGGAGGTTGAACTGTTATCTTCATAACAATCTGGTTAAAGCTGTTAATTTTCATCCGCCGATGATATACCAAAAACAGGCCTGCCTCTGGGCAATTAATCAAATCAGCCATCTGTTTTATCCCCTGGGCTAAACACATTCGTGCCATAAAAAATCTCAATGATCTAACCCTCTCTGAAAAGCACTTAGGACATCGACTAGAACTCATTCACCTCTAACAGCAACAATTTCCGAGCATATTATCTTTTCCTATAACACGAAAGCTACTTAAACTCGATTTTAAGATATACCTAAAAAGTCCTCCTAAACAACTCCCTCTTGTAGATAATCATTTTTTATTTTTATTTTAAGGGTGAACAGTTATCTAAGTTCTCACACTATGCCTTAAAAAAATTATCACATGTCAAGAAACAATGTGACACCCTGTTAATATCAGCTTTTGAGGGAATACATGGAAAAGTGTGGTCTTATCAGTCCATCAAAGAATTGGTGTTAAGAAATAAAAGATACCATACAGAGCTACCTTAAACTGTTCTGTTTCTCTTCTTGTGTCATACAATATCAATATTATATGGCAAATCCTATCCCTTGGGGAACAATTCTAAAAGATTTTCAAAGTCATCCATGCAGTGCAAAGCACAAGTTAAGCTCATTTGTTGCTCTTGAATAGCTATCCAGAACACAGGATTTACTTCACCATCTTCCAGTTGAAACTTTATCATGTGGTAACCCACAGGAAAAGGCAGGGTGACTGCTCAATACATGTTCACTACTTCATACAGGTTCCTCAGTATAAAAGACAACTAAAAATGCCATTTTAAGGCATAATTGATGACAAAATGTACAAAATCATGCTCAAAAATACTATATTAGCAATACTTTTGGGAGATAAACATGGATTAAATATACTTGAAAGCTTTTCTTACTTTTATTTGAGTGATTCTTCATTAAGTGACCATTCAGTACTGGGACTTAGTAAAGGATGGACACAAATGCTTCAGAGAGGCGACCTCTTAACCCTTTACACCCTAACATCAGTATGCAAATTCTCCATTCTGTTCTCCGTACATTTCCAAAAAGACTGAAAAGGAGAGTTTGTTTCACAATCAAGAGCTGCTCTAGTTGGTGATCATCTTCTCTATTCTCATCACTTTCATGTTGATTCAGGGGTGATATTGTGAGGAGAAATTAGATGCTAGTCACTCTAAGGGTTTAAGGGGTTAATAAAGGTGAAAATTACAGTGTTTTCCAGACTTGGACAACTGACCACTTAAAACAGGTTTGGCTGTAACTAGTTCCCCAAATTTAAGTGATTGTACAAACAATCAAAGCACTTGATATCCCTTTGACCCCCTGATCAGTAGAACTACACAGAGAATTACATGATACAGCAAATAACTCTGTTTTGTTCATTTTATTTTGTTACAAAACTAGTCTTATAAATCTATAATAAAACCATAGTAGATCACCTTTCCCTTGGCAACATCACATTCTTAAACTTATGTTTTACAGTAAAAAGGCATTAATAATTGAAAGGCTCAGAGCAAGAACGACCCCTTGATTTTTTGGCCATTTTTG